GCAGTGGGGTAGGGCTGGGGGGATGCAGGGAGCACAGTGGGGCAGGGCTGGATGGATGCAGGGAGCGCAGTGGGGCAGGGCTGGGCAGGGAAAGGGGGCTGCAGGAGGGGTAGGGTGTCACGGAGTCCCCGGGCGATGCTCTGGGACTGCTCCCCACAAAGCCAGTCAGGACTTTGGGGAGCCTCCTCTCCCTCGGAGCAGACTGTCTTCAGGGCAAGAAGCTCACACGGCTTCACCTCCTGGGTCTCTCCTGGGAGCATTCAGCATATGCCCCTCCGTGCGCTTCCCACAGCGAGTCCGCCCAGGCGGGGTCCTGGGGCAGCCAGAGGGTCCTGCACCCCCACTTCGCAGTCAGACGTGACTCTTAGCCAGCCAGTAAAACAGAGGTTTATTAGATGACAGGAACATGGTCTAAAACAGAGCTTGTAGGTCCAGCAAATGGGACCCCTCCGCCGGGTCCATTCTGGGGCCCAGCGAGGCAGACCCCCATCTGCCCTCACTCCTAGTCCCCAGCCAGCTCCAAACTCCAACCCCCGTCCAGCCCCCTCCTTCTCTGGGCTTTGTCTCTTTCCCAGGCCAGGAGGTCACCTGATCCCTTTGTCTCCAACACCTACAGTTGGCACCTTTGCAGAGGAGGGGCCCAGGCCATCAGTTGCTAGGAGACAGAGTGTCGGGCATTTATGTGCACTGGCCCTTTGCTCTGCAGCAACCAGACACCCTTATCCCACCCCCTAGATACTTAAGAACTGCATAGGGGAAACTGAGGAAAACATTAAGAACAGTCCCACTTTGTCACAGGGGCTGCTCGGGAAATCAGAGCCAGGGCCCCACAATGCACAGCCGCCGCCCCCGCGTGGGTGCCCATGAACTGCCGCCACGGCCCTGGGACCTCCGGTGGTTGGGGTCAGAGGTCAGCGTTGCAAAGTGATTGCAATAATCCCAGCCAGAAGGCCAAACCTGGAGACGGTCTCCTTGGCCCAGCTGTCACGGAGTGGGGGGAGTCAGGGCCCTGGGATTCACCGGGACTCTCAAACGGAAGGTTTATTGGACAATAGGAACGCAGTCTAAAATAATGTCAGGTTTCAGAGTAGCAGCCGTGTTAGTCTGTATCCGCAAAGAGAACAGGAGAACTTGTTAGTCTCTAAGGTGCCCCAAGTACTCCTGTGCTTTTTGCGTGTAGGTACAACCAGGACCCCTCAGTCAAGTCCTTCTGGGGGGCAGGGAGCTTAGACCCCAGCTTGGGGTTCCCTGCGTTGCACCACCCAGCCCAAAACTGAAGCTAACAACTCCCCCAGCAGCTTTCTCCCCCCTCCCCCCAGCTCCTCCTCTCCTTTGTCCCGTCTCTTCTCAGGCGTGGAGTGGGGAACGTTCCCTTGCGGGACGGGACACACTGGCAGCCTCGGCCGGGGGAAGACACGGTCTCTCTCCCAGTGCCATTGGCAGAGCACCCATCTCCACAGCATCTGGGCTGCCCCAGCCCTCGGGACATCTCCTGCCCCACGGCCCTGGCCTTGGGATTCCCCCTCTGCCAGCAAACGCTGCTCCTTCCGTGACACTCCCCGGCGGCACGAAGTCCAAGCGTGGGCCGGGCGGGGGTGAGACGGCGGGGAGGGCTGGCTGTCCATTCACACCACCCCCCCAGGCAGCTGGGCCTTTAAGAGTCTGGGTTCCAGATAAAAGGAGCTTTGCAGGGGGGTGGGCCCTACTCTGGGAAGATGGCTGCAGCTGAGGTGGTGAGTTGCACCCTGGGTGCCTGGCTGCTCTGAGCCCCGCCTGGAGCAGCTCCTCCTGGGCCCTTGGGTGGAGCCAGGCCCTGGCTGTGCAGTGTTCCAGGGACCCCCCGAGCAGCCTGTTTAAAGGGCCCCATTGTGGGGGTGGCAGGGAGGGGGCCAGGATCTGGGGTGGGCTGGTTTCCCCTGACACTCACCCACACGTTCCCACCCTGGTGCTGGGAGGGTCCCCGCTGCTGCAGTTGTGGGTGACTCTGCCGGCTCCCGGGGGCCTGGGCGGGCTGCTCCCTGCCGCGCGCTGTGCCAGCCCCTGGGTTAAAGGGTCTCAGGTGGCTGCAGGGCAGGGCCATGGCACCAGTGTGGCTGGGCAGGCTCGGCCCCCTGTCCCCCGCAGGAGACGGGGCAATGGCTTAACCCTCTAGCCCTGGGGCAGGCTCTGACTGGGGGCACGTCCCAGCCCTGCAGTGGCAGTGCTGGGGGGCAGCGGAGGGAGGTGGGGGGCTGAGGCTGGGGAGGAGACAGCAAGCAGCAACCTCTGCAGCACTGCCGAAGTGCCAGAGTCCCTGTGCCCTGCGGTGCTGCCAGTGCAGGGGGCAGGCTGGGTTCCAGGGGGGCTGTAGAACTGCTCTGGGTGCTGGAGGCCTGGAGCCTGGTTCCTGCCCTGGGGCCTCCGTGGGCAGGTCCCGAGCCAGGGAGTCCCTGTCTCAGGGCACGTGGGGCCCCGGCAGCCATGTTGTTAGTCGCTGGCCATGGGGCTGGAGCTGGGGTGAGGCTGGCTTGGTTACTCACGGGGCTCTGCTCGCCCACCCTCTGGGGTCCCCTCGAAGCCGCCCCTGCCCTCCAGAGTCTGCCGCGCCGTGTGTCCTGCCCTGTGCCTTATGCCAGTGTGTGGTAGGGGGGCGCTCTGCACAGGCGAGAGGAGCAGAGGCGGCGAAAGGCACGAAGGGAGGCGCTCGCTGCCGAGATCTTGGACAAGCACCCCCTGCAGAACAGGTACTGTTGGGGGGGGGGGGGGTTGCACCTTGTGGGGGGGGGAGCTCCCCTGGCACCCCCCTTTATTCCTGCCTGCCGCTCCCCACCCTGCCTGGGTCCCTCCTCCAGCCACTCTGTGCTGCTCGCCCAGGTGCTGCAGTGAAACACCCACCCTGGGGCTAGGTTGGTGAGATGCCTGCTGGTGCCCTGCCCCACGGGGGCGCTGTGGGCCTGTGGTGTTTGGCCATAGCTGCAGGGCAGAGCGAGAGGCAGAGGTGGCTCTGATTGCCAGGTGAGCCCCCTTCAGAGACCCCCAGCTTTGGGGAAAGGCCATGTGGGGTCCTGGACTTCAGAGGGGTCATGGAGTCTGATCATCCAGTCTGACCCCATGTGTCACTGGCCCCCCAGCGTCCGTCCCCCCCACTCCCCAACCGACAGGAGATCAGAATCTCCCACCTCACAGCAGGCTGGATGGGGTGGGACAAGGGGCACCGAGGGGGGGGAGAGATGGATGAGGGGCACTGGGGCGGGGAGGTGGGGATGGATGAGGGGCACCAGGGGCTGAGCCCTGCAGTGGCACGGAGAGGGTTAAGTGAGACACCCCCCAGATAATCCTGGTGAGTGACCCACACCCCATGCTGCAGAGGGAGGTGACCCCTCCCCCCCCCAAGGGCACTGCCCGTCTGACCTGGGGAAATTCTTTCCTGACCCCGCCTCTGGTGACCAGTCAAAGCCTGGGTGGGTCAGAGCAGCCAGCCAAGGAGATGTGTGTGGGGGGGAACAGACCTGTCAGTGAAGGGGGGGGGGGCCCGACTTGGGTTTGGTTATATTGGCTGGGGGAGCTGGTAGAGTGGGGGGGTGGCTGAGGGTTGCCTGGCTGGGTGGCCAGAGATCTTGTGTGGCAGGGGGCTGGCTGAGGGTGTGGCAGGGCTGGGTGGGCACAGGGTGTGTGGTGATGGGGTTTGTTCTCAGCTGCGTGGGCCTGGAGGGGCTGTGTGGCTGGGCGGGGGGGTGCAGGGTGTGTGTGTAGGGGGGTGTTTGACGTCTGCTCTCGGCTGCGTGTGGCTCTAACCTGCCCTACCCCCCCCCCCCCGCAGGTGGGCTCTTTGGTTCTTCAAAAACGACAAGAGCCAGACGTGGCAGGCGAACCTGCGCTTGGTGACCAAGTTCAGCACCGCGGAGGATTTCTGGGCGTGAGTTCTCCTGGGTCCCTGCTGCCGGGGGCGGGGGCGCTTCAACTTCTGCAGGGGGATCTTGGGGACGACGGCAGGAGGGACTGGCTGCAGGCGCGGGCAGGGGGCAGCTAGCGCATGTCCCGGGGGGGCTAGCCCAGGAGTCAGGGCTGGCCTCTGCCCCGGTGCCTGCATGGGGACTTCGCTCCCGTCTGTGCCCAGGCCCCGGGGCTCGGCAGAGGAGTTGGGTTCAGTGTCTCTGACCTGCGGGGGGAGGATGTTCACTCCGCTGGGCCCCAGGTGGTGTGTGAGTGGGGGGGGAGGATCCCAGGGGCTTTGGGGGGCTGCTGCACCAGATGCTTCTGTCCAGCCACTAACCTGCTCTCTCCGCGCCGGCGTCGACCAGGTTGTACAGCCACATCCAGTTGGCCAGCAAGCTGACGTCGGGCTGCGACTACTCCCTCTTCAAGGTAGGGCTCTGCCCCTCCCCGGCAGTGCCCGTCCTCGCAGCCCGGGGACACCCAGGGGGTGGGAGCTCGCTGGGGCCATCTGGGTGCCAGGGCCCAGTCTGAGGGATCCCGCCCGGCTGCCCACGGGGGGTGAGACAAGGCAAGGGGCAGCGTGATGCCGGGGGAGGGGCTGTCGGGCAGGCTGGGGGTGACTTTGGGGCAGGCTGGCCGCTGCCCGCGCCCCTTGACTCGGTACCTCCCTGGCCCAGGACGGGATCGAGCCCATGTGGGAAGACAACCGGAACAAGCGGGGCGGGCGCTGGCTCATCACACTGGCCAAGCAGCAGAGACACACGGAGCTGGACCGCTTCTGGCTGGAGACGGTGAGTGCGAGTCGCTCCCCTTGTGCCCCATCCTGCAGCCCCCAGGCTCTGCCCTGCCCCTCTGCGCAAGGGGGGCTGGATATTGGGCACAGCCTCCCCCGCTGGGGCAGGAATCCTCGGCAGCTCCTCATGGTCAGCCCGTGGGACTGGGGTCAGCGCCCGGCTTCTCCCAGGGGGGCCTACGGGGCTGCCGGGTTGAGCCAGCAGCTCCCCCCTTGCCATGGGGCAGAGTAACCACTCCTCAAGGGCACTGCGCTGCCCCGCCTGGGGAGCGGGTGCTGCAGACCCATGGTGACCCAGGGGCCTTGCCCCCCGCACAGCTGCTGTGCCTGATTGGCGAGACATTCAGCCCCTACAGTGAGGACGTCTGCGGGGCCGTCATCAACATCCGGGCCAAGGGAGACAAGATCGCCGTCTGGACCCGAGAGGCGGAGAACCGGGAGGGGGTCACCCACATTGGGTAACGTGGCTCCGAAGGCTCTGCTGGGGGGGGGGGGGCGCCGTGTTCCCCTAACGCCCCTTGCTAGCCGGGCCACGGCCCCAGAGCCACGGGCCAGGCGTGGGACTCTGCAGGCCTGGCGCCGAGCCGGGCTCAGGCTCTGTTGCAGTGGCCACTGGGAACTCCCTGCTGGCGCTGGGCGGGTGCTGTTCTGCATCAGTGCCTCTGGCTCCCCACGCTGGGAGCCGGCCCCTGGAGCAGGGCACGTGGCTGGTTGGTCTCCCGGGGCTGAGGGGGGCCCTGGAGCCGGGATTCCCGGGGGCTGTGGGGGTGGGGAGGGCAGAACTCAGGAGCGCTCGCGCTCTCTCTCTCTCCCCCCAGGCGGGTGTACAAGGAGCGGCTGGGGCTGTCCCACAAGGTGGTGATCGGGTACCAGGCCCACGCGGACACGGCCACCAAGAGCGGCTCCCTCACCAAGAACAAGTTTGTGGTGTGAGCGCCGGACTGGGCTCCTGGGACCTGTGACGGCAGTGCCCTGCTGGGGGGGCGTTGTGGCGGGGGCCTTCCCCCGAGGGGCTGGGCTGGCATGGGATGGGGGGGCTCTGCCTGCTGTGGGAAGCACGATGTAAATTCCCACAATGCAAGTGCTGCATCCAAACACTGACTCTGTGTCTGCCTGGGGGGTGCGGTGGGGGGGTCACTGCTGGGCCTCGCGCCCCCGCCTGCCAGCTCCTGCAGAGGAGGCTCTGGGAACGCGGAGGGGGAGGGTGCATGTGGGCTCCACCGCTGAAGACACCTGGGCAGATGCTTGCTGGTGCAGGTGCCCAGAAGGGGAGGCTGGGCCCACCTGACATGGAGAGTGGATGTGCCCCCAGCTCTGCCCGTGGGACTGGAGTCCAGCCCCCCTGCTGCTACCAGCCAGGTACCTCTTGCTGCAGCCCTGCCCAGGGGACAGCAGGCCCCCCACCCGCTCCTGAGCAGCCTGGCGCAGGGGGAGTGCCCCACGGGGCTCCCCTCTCTCTCTGCTTCCCCTGCAGGGGAGGGGCCCTACTCTGCACGGCTGGGACTGGAGTCACGCCAGGCTCCTGCTCCTTCAGGCTCGGGGCGGGGACAGAGCAACAGGGCCACCGCCCCCATGCCTGGCCCCGGCCTAGCCCTGGTGGTTCCCATGGGGTGCCAGGGGTGTGTGTCCCTGGCTGGGATGTGGGGGGGTGGCAGAGTACCCAGCTCCACTCCAGGTTCTGCAACGGGGGCACCTTGCTGGGCTCTGGACGGGCCCAGCCAGGCAGCCTGTCCCGTGCCACCTCTGGGTGGTGCTGACCCAGCAGCTGCGTGGGCTGCCGGTGAGGAGCACCCGACACAGAGCTACTCCCTACCCCCCCCCCCATGCCCCGGAAAGAGGCCTTGATGCTGGGCAGGGATCGAGGGGGCACAGGCATTCTGGGCAGGCTTGGGGGGGGGGTGGACAGCATGGGGGGATCCCTCCGGGCCCCTGGCCCTGCCCTCCTGGAGGAGGGGAAAGCAGCGCCCAGCTGGGCTCCATGCGGGTGGAGCAGGTGGAAGAGGGGGGCTGCCTGTGGGGGAGGAGGGAGGCAGCGACTCAAGGGGCCCAGCCCCCCGTTGGACCCCTGCCCAGGCTGTGGAGCATGGGCTGCCTGGCACAGCCCCCCTGCGTGGGCCATGGGGAGCAGCGGCCGTAGCTCCCCTGTGCGGGGATGGGCCAGTGCACAGGGCGTGTGTATGGGGGGCGGGTCGAGCCCCACCCAGCTGCCTCAGGAATAGCAGGGCTGAGCCGTCCAGTGGCCGCTTTCCCTTGGCGGGGGGGCCCAGCGCCCTGCCCCCAGCTGCCATTCCCCCCAGGGGCAGCGCTGACCTGTCTTGCAGCTTCTGGCTTCATTCAAAACACCAGTGGAAGGAAGGTCCCAGCCTAAGGCCTGCTCGGGTCTTTGCTCCTGGCCCTGCTGCGGCTCGTCGGCTGGTGCCCCCGGGCCGCTCCGGCAGTGGGACACGGGGCAGCGCTGTTTTAAAGACCTTTCCTCAGCACTTCACAGCCGTGCAGGGAGGGACAGAGCAACACGAGCTCCCCATATCTCCTGGGCAGCAGGGGCAGAGTCCCTGCACCGCTCAGCTGCCAGAGGGGCCTACGGCGCAGATAGCCGAGGGGTTGCGGGTCGGGCGTGAGGAGCAGCAGCAAAGGTGGGGGAAGTTTAGGGCTGGGATGAAAGGGGCTGTGGGTCAGGATGGAGGGACTCCAGCTGAGCTGGGGGGGAGGAGAAAAGCAGCCGGGGCTGGTCTAGAAAGGGGGGCTGTGGGATGGGAGACCTCCTGGGGGGGGGGCAGATTATCCCCCTCTGCCCCTCGCAGGATTCATACACCTTTCTCTGCAGCGTCCGCTGCACTGGGAGATGGGACTAGCTGCGTTTTGGTTCTAAACCCAGCTGGCAATTCCTACGTCCCAGGTGCTGCCCTGCGTCTCAAACCCTCCCAAGCCTCTGTCCCTGAGAGGCGGGGGAGGCTGGGTGTCACGGAGTGTGGGGGGTGACAGGGCCCTGCACCCCCGGCTTCCTGCGATTCACCATGACTCTCAGCCAGCCAGTAAAGCAGAAGGTTTATTTAGACAACAGGAACACCGTCTAAGACAGGCCTTGCAGATACAGACAACAGAACCCCTCTCAGTTAGGTCCATCTTGGGGTCCCAGGGGCACCGCAGCCCCGTTGGGGGGGTCAGAGCCCCGTCTGGGCTCCCCTCCATTACACCAGCCAGCTCCTGAAACTCTAACTCTCTCCAGCATCTCTCAATCAGCCTCCCCCCCAGCTCCTCCCCCTGCCTTTGTCCAGTTTCCCGGCAGAGGTGTCACCTGGCTCCAACCCCCTTCCTGGGTTCTCCCTCAAGGCCAGTCTCCCACCCCCCAATGCAGACTGTCCCAGCCAACCTCCCTACTCAGCATTCAAAGGCTACATTAAGAACAGTCCCAGTTCGTGTCACTGGGGAAACTGAGGCCCTGAGCAGGTAACCCCACACTGCAGTGGGGCTGCCTGGCCTCTCATGCACTAATGAAAGTGAGATGGGTAGAGTTGTCATGGATCCCAGGAGCGGCGCTATGCCTCAGCATGTGAACATACTCCTGCAGTGAGCCAGTCCCCCTGGGGTCCCACTCCTGCCTCGGGGTACCCCACGGCCTCCTGCTTCCCCTGGGAGCTCTGCCCAGCGCGTCTAGCTGAGACAGACCCTGGTACAGCCGTGTCCCCTCCACAGGGGTTAATGCCCCGGCCCCGTGTTCGCAGCCCCCTGCCCCCAGCGCTGTCACAGAACAGGGGTTAGCAGGCAGCCGTGCAGCACCAGCTCTGACGTTAGCCCAGAGACAGGAGGGTCAAAGCACGGCCCAGCTGGTCAAGCTGCAATTCACCAGCCAACCTGGAACAAACCAGTTCTGGGCTCTCACTGGCTTCCTTCCCTAGCCCGGTCGGTCCTAGCTGAGAGCCCCAAGCTTCTTCCAGAGCCTCCCCCTTCTCCTCCCAGCCCAGGCCTTTGTTCTCGAGCTGGGGGGCGAGAGCCCCAAGTCTCCTCCCTCCTCCCAGGCCTTTGTTCTCGAGCTGGGGGGACAAGAGCCCCAAGTCTCCTCCCTCCTCCCAGGCCTTTGTTCTCGAGCTGGGGTCTCCACTCAGCTGCTGGGGGGACTATTCAGTTGTCTCTCCAGATGCCTTGTTGACCTGGGTCAGTTGCAGCCAGTTCCTTAATGACTCTATTCATTCCACCCGGCCCAGGGGGTGACACAAACACACGTGTCTCTCTCAGGCTGCCCTGAGAGCAGCCTTAATCCTCCTGCCCCCCGCCCCCCCCCACCATGCACAGTAGTGGGGAAAATGAGGCAGGTGCCAGATTCATAAACATATTACAAAAAAATTCCTGCTTTGTCACACCAAGTAACCCTTGTAATGATGCAGCTCTGGCGGGACCCACCTGACAGTGCCAATTCAGGACCAATTGCTTAAAACAGGACAGTTACAGCCCAAGGCTGGGGTTTTTCCACCTCTAAGGCAAACCAAACCAGCCAGACAAAGAGGACTTTGGTCTCACCCCACTGGCTAACCACAAGTCACACAAGCAATTCCCTTAGATACTCCAGTTTCCCAGTATCACCACCAGTGCCACTCGTTATGGGGACAAATGGTTATGAAAACCAATACCCCAGAAAAAGAAAAAGGTTCTCTCGATCCCAGAGGACCAAGGCCAAAACCCAGGTCAATATACAAATCAGATCTTACCCACAAATCACACTGTTGCCAATCCTTTAGAATCTAAAATCTAAAGGTTTATTGATAAAAGGAAAAAGATAGAGATGAGAGCTAGAATTGGTTAAATGGAATCAATTCCATACAGTAATGGCAAAGTTCTTGGTTCAGGCTTGCAGCAGTGATGGAATAAACTGCAGGTTCAAATCAAGTCTCTGGAACATCCCCAGCTGGGATGGGTCATTCAGTCCTTTGTTCA